CCTGCTGTACCACTACCACCCCCCTTTCAAGCTGGGAACAACTTGTCCCCAGGGAGGGCTGCACACAGAGTCTATGTGCACAACTGTTCTAGCTGTGTACTGGGGAAGGGGCAGGGCAGACAGAAATACAACCCACATTTCCAAAGCTGCTTCTCCCTTCCCAGGCCCTGGATGTCTCCTTAAGGTTGTGCTGCATCCTCAGGAGCCCTCCTGGGATGTAGATCTCCATTAGAACTGGTGCCTGGACCCAGGGCATGAGCTTTGCCCTTCGCTTAGGTTTGGTCATGCAGAAAGCGGAGGTCTCCCAGCTCCTACCTTCTTCCTAATCAAAGGTGAGGCCGAGCAGAGGAATGAGTGCAGTTCCTAGACAGGTCACATGGTGGCATGGTGTCTGTACTGCTTCCCTCTTCCCACCACTACCCCTCCCATCCCTCTACCCCAGAGAGAAACATTTCTTAGCTGAGAGAATACTGGGGATTCCAGAAGATGCCTGGTGAATCTGGGAATTGGCAAGTCTAGTAGGTGAGGAGGGAAAAACGGAAGGAACTAGTGGCATGGAGAATAAGAAGAGGGGGTTGGGAGGACTGGGGTGTACAGAGGACAGGGCCATGGAACATAAAGCAAGGAGGAGGAAAGGAAAAGAACATTCTTTTGAGCACCTGCTTTGTATCAGGTACAGTATATATCATTAGCCCATCTAATTTTGAGACTAGAACGGGGGGGGTGAGGAGAAGAATGTGGAAGAAAGGTGGATGCTACTGGGGAGGAAGGACAGTTCCTCCTGGAAAGGAGAGTCCTCAGCTGTGACAATGTCTCTTAATATAGCCTGACAGGTGCTTGTGGCTGGCGGGTGGCAGGCGGCCCTGAGGGGCAGGCCCAGAATTAGCAGCTACATCATGCCCGTGGGATGTGCTGGGAGGAGCCGCCCTCTCAGAGGCTTTATTTGGACCTTTCCTGACACCCTGTGCGTGGCCACCAGCTACCCCAGGAGGGGGCAAGGTGCCAGGAGCAGTTCCCCTTCCACTCTTGCTTGGATGCCTGCCACTTCCTCAGGGAGTCAAAACTCTACCTCTGTTCTGCTGGCCTGAAGTGGGCAGGAAGGGGGCAGGGAAGGGGACAACCATCTCTAGCTCAGAGCTCCAGTGGTTAATTCCCCGGCTGCTTAAGGGCCAAACTTTTATGCTGATGACTGTAAATGCGCTGTCCTCAGAGAGCCACACACTCCCTTTCCTAACCTTCCCCATCAGCCAATGAAGAAGCGGGGACTTCAGGCAGGACTAATAAGGCTGGGAGGAAAAGAAGGGCGGGGAAGGCCTCTGGCTCTAGCTTTTCTAAGGCCTTAACTTGAGGAGGGAGAGGGGCAGAGAGAGGCAGGGAGAGCTGTGGTGAGCTGAGGCTGGGTAGTGGGTGGTCTCTTCTTTCCTCTGGATGTCAGTGCTGGGAACACTTGCCTCTCTCACCTCCTTCTCAGTCTCCAGTTCCCTGCTTTGAGAACTGGGTCACCCAGGACCCCAGACAAGGACAGGTGTCCAGTATCAGGCTGGAGCACTGCCCTCTTACCTTCCTCCCCATACTGGTCATACAGGCCCCGTTTCTTAGGGTCACTCAGCACATCATAGGCCTCTGCGATCTCCTTAAACTTCTCCTCAGCGTTGGGTTCTTTGTTCTTATCTGGGTGGTACTTCAAGGCCATCTTCCGATAGGCTTTCTTGATCTCATCCTCATTGGCTCCCGACGGGATCCCAAGAATCTTGTAGTAATCCTTTCCCATCACAGCCACTGGACCGGCACTGGTGTCCTTGTTTCTGAAAGAAACCAGGGCCGATCCTTGATGCCTCTGTTTCCTTCTACCCCGGTCCTGTTCCTGATGATCCTGTAACCCCTAAATGACTCACTGTGTAACTTTCAGCAGGTCATGCCTGTTCTGTGGGCCTCTGTCTCCCCATCAGTAAAATAAAAGGGTTGGATTAGATGATCTCTTCCAGCTCTGACATTCTAGGATTCTGTGATTCTTTCCTTAGCTCCTGGGTTTTCCCAACAGGAAGCTGGGGGCTGTGGCCCACTTTTTGGGGCTATTCTAAGGCCCAGGTCCTTGGGCCAGACTGAGGACTCCCACGAGCCCTGCTGAGTAAGGTGGCACCATGGACTGACAGACCACGCACAGAAGCTGGTGAAGATCAGCGTACTGGGTGAGGTCACCTGAGCATCGTGGTCTCCTATGCCATGCCTCAGGCATAGTGCCCAGGCTAAGGGCAGCTGGGGCAGTGGCAGTGGCCCAGGGCTGGGAACAGGCCTGGGTCTTCAGCCAGCTGCCTTGGCCAGCCAGGCTGAGTCAGGGTGTGTGTACCTGAATTCCTCTCAGCCACTGGAGACCCCAGGCCTCCCTGCCCCCGCTCCCCAGACTATGCTAAGCCTCACGTGTGATTCAGATTAGAGGATGACTCACAGCCTTTGGATACTGCTGTTTCTAACTCTCTCATTAGCGGGGCGGGGTGACACCGTCCTTCCCCCAACCAGAGCAACAGTTCCCTTTAGTCATTTCCCAGTGTCTACACACAAAACTGTGTGTGAGGACATGTCTGTGCCACCTAAGCATCAGTGTTAGTGAACAAAGGAGGTAGGGCTTTTAAACCTTAGTTGTTAGGAGACAATTGGGCACTAACCACCAGTTCCTTAGTACCTTCTCTACCAGTCCCTCCCTCTCACCTGCCTCATGGTTTAGGATCTGGCCCAGTGCTAGGCCCACACTCCTCTGATAGTCCCTGAAGTGCTGGATGCAGGGGCATTTGTTATTTATATGAGGGAGAAACACAAGACTCTCATTCTTTCACTCTAATCTCCCTCCATCAATGTCTCTGTGGTGGATAGAGGGAAAGGCACTTTCCTGTAGCTAGAGCTAGTAGGGGGAATGGCCAGAAGCCATTCTCTAACCCATCTGAGACTTGGCCAACCCCTGCCAAAGCCCAGAGAACTGGAGTCTTTCTAGCAATGTCCTGGGCTGGCAGCCACAGCTAAGGCCTGCTTTTCTGCCTCTGACTGCTGCCGAGAGATTACAGGGTGTCCTGGCAGGAGTGAGGGCTGTAATGGTTTCAGGGAGGCCTCAAGGCCCCAGGTAGACAGGGACAACAGCCCTAACTCCTGCCCCCACAGGGCCTGTTACAGGTGGCTGGGTTGACTCATGGTTCTGGGAGTCACCTCACTCTGATGAAGAGAAGGCTCCATTAGGGCGGGCACTCCCCCTTCTCCCCTACCAGCATGTCATGCCTGGTGGGGGAGCCTGTGGCTGGGGAGGCAGAGAAGAAAGGGCATCTGGGGGAGGGCAGCCATTTTCGGAAGCAGCAGTAAAAGCTGTCTGAGAGGGAGTTGGGGGTGGTCTGCCGCCATCTCTGCCTCAGCCCACACCTTCTTTCCCCTGAAACTGGGAAGGAACCCTAGCACACCAAGAGGGTGCCCCCAGAGAACTGTAGCAGCTTTTAGGCTGAGGGTGAGTGGAATGCCTTGCCAGTGTTTTCAACCCTCCCCTCACTGTCCCTGCATTACCTCTTCATCCGGCCAGCTTCCTCCCTTGCACCCCCGTGCTAGCTGTTCTAGACCTGTAATTCTCTTGCCTCCACAGACATAGGGCAAGCTCTTTCAGGAGTTGCCTTTTTTCCTCCTCCTTTCCTCCCTCCCTCCCCTACCCACAAGCCATGTGTTGGAATGACAAAGGAGCCCCATGGCATGGCACTGCCTTTGATGGAGAGAATGAAGAGGATGTTAATGTAGAGGCAGGACTAAAAGATGAGAAATGGCAAAAGGGGGACTGATACAGGGAGGGGGGATGGTTGACACAGAAAATGAAGTACCGATGGAGGGGGATGAATGATGACAAACGGAAATGTCTGAAGTGGCAAATGGGTTACCAATGGGATGTAGAGAGTTGAAATACTAGAGGAGGTGTTTGTGGAAAACGGGTGCCTGAAGGGTTTGGTATGAGATGAACGACAAGGGGTGCAGTTCATTCAAATGTAAGGGTTGGACAGAAGGGGGGTTCTTATACGTAACTGGGGATGAGACGAGGATGAGATGGAGGAAGCGGGTAGGCAATGGAGGGGGATATGACATGGAGAATTTGACTCGGTATGGGTATGAGTGCCCTTCTCCAGAGGGACTTACCGAAACTTTACAAACCCATTCAGCGTCCACGCTCGAAGTTTTAAGGGCTCCAGCTGAATTTTAAACATCAAGCTGGCTAAGAAGTCTTCTCCCCAGAAGTGTGGGAAGCTCCGGAAAGCGCCTCGGGCCTGTAGTGGGGGTGCTGCTGGGGATGGGCAGGAGAGCACTGTGCGCTTAAACATGCCCAGCCCAGCCCCTCACCTCTGATCGCTCCACTGGAGCCTGCTTGGAGAGCTGCAGCTCTGGAAGCCGCCTCCTCAGGTTCTCAGAGGCACTTGCCCAGCAAGGCCTGTCCGGTGCAGCAGGAGCTGGACCTGATCCCCAGGTGTGGAGAGTGAAGGAATAGGGTCCAGCGGTCACCTGCTCTCAGGTGCAGCGATGTCTGGCTGATTGTGAATGGCTGTATGGCTGTGTGACAGTAAGGCTGGCAGTGCAAAGCGTGTGTGCTTGTGAGTGGCAGCGTGTACCTCTGACAGGTGTGATTGTCTGTGAGGGCCTGAGAGGCAGCGTGTTCTTCTCGCCTCTCTCCCCGGGGAGGACCAGACCCCAATCCCCAAGAATCTACTCAATGAAGTCACTGACAGGGAGTCTCCTCCCTCGCAGATGGGCGGGGCGGGGCGGGGCAGAGCTCGGCTGGGACAAAAGGCGCGGCGAGGAGAGGAGGGGAGGAGAGGGGAGGGGGCTCCGGCGGGGGAGGGTGGTCGGTGATGTCACCGGCGCTGGCTGACTGGGCTGGCTCAGAAACGCCTCCCCGGAACCCAGTGCGACCCGGCCCGACCCTCCCCCGGCTCAGACGCGGGCTGCCCCCTGTAAGAGGGTCGCAGACATCGAGCACCTTGCAGACCCCGAACCTCCACACCCCCGCGGTGGAAGAGCCGAAGGGCCCTCAGTGTCCCGACATCCCGACACCAGGACCCCCGGCTTCGCGACGCGCGACGCCCCCCTCCCGGGACCCTCGAGTCCTGGCTCGGCGCCCTCACCGGTGAGGAGCTGCGGGCGCCGCCGCGGTCCGTCAGACAGCTGCTGCCCCCTCCCCCGGCTCTGGCTCCGCCGCCTCCACTCGGGACAGGAGTCGCCCGCCCGCCGGCGGCGGCCAGCGGGCCCGGGAACCCGCCCCCACAGCTCCGCCTTCGCTCTTCCCATTGCGCCGTCTGCCCGTCACTCAGCTCAGCCTCTGCTGTAATTGGACAGCTTTCAACGAGTGGCTCTGTGGTAGCCGCCCATTCTCCGCCCCTGTCACCCGGCCACACGCGCACACATTCCGGGCCGTGATTGGTGTGGGTCTGATTGGTGCACTTTGGGATCAATCAACCACACCTCTTCGCTTTCTCGTCGTGTCATTGGTAAAAGGGACAGAGGGCGGCAACTTCACGCGCCCTTTGATTTTATTGGTTGGTCTGTGGGGCTCAGACCCCAGTCGGGGGACAACTATTTTAGTCCAATCTCCGGTTTGAGAACGTGGGACGTACTGGCCACTGCCCGAATCCCGGGAGAAACTTCTGGAACCCGTGGAACGTCAAAGGCAGCCTTAAAGGAAAACTGCGCCCACCAGTTGGCGGTGACTCTGGGCATTCTTTCCTGTCTTCATTTAGGAGGGTAGGGGAGAGAATAGTGCACTCTGGGAGGTGTGGTCCCTGGACCGGGGTGAAAAGGTTACCATTCTTACCTGTCTTCCATTGAACCGTGAACTGTCCTAGCCCTGACCTGATTTAGCTTTACCTTACCATGACCCAGAGTTGACCTGATATGACCTAACTGAATCTCAAAACAGACCCTGGTAGACGAGCATAGTTTAAGTACCCTTCTGCTCTCTCCTTTGTAACCTAGCAGTTCTCCACGGTTTTAGCACCTCCAAGATTCCCTTTATGAGTCCCCTTTTCAACCTCTGTATAATCCCCTCATCCCTGCTCCCTCATGAGCAGCCCCTTCTCAACAATCCCCACAATCCTCATTAAATTTCTCCCTATAATCTTTCATCCTACTTCCCTTTTGAGTTCCCACATTTTGTCCCCCTTTTACTCCCTCCCCCCTTCCTGGCCCCATATGATCTCCTGTCTTTCCCCCATGATCTTCTGTCTTATCCTATTCTTAATCCTTATCTACTCCCATGTGCTCCCCTATCCTAGCCCCCCGCCCCTTAACCCTTCGTCTCAGCTCCACATGATCTCCTTTCTTAACACCCTCAGAATCTCCCATTTCAGTACCCCCACCCCCACCCCCATAAATCGTCAGCCCCAGTGTCCCCGATGTTCAGAGCAGGCAGGGCTGCGTAGGCGGTTGCCAGCGGAAGCCGACGCTTGAGCAGACACGGTGCCTGGCGCCCACGTCACTGTCTCCCAGGCCCATCTGTGCTAGAGGGAGCGGCGGTAGGGAGGGGGTAATCCAGGGGTGAAGAGGGGGAAGGAGTTCTTGGGGGTTTTGAGGACAAAGGAAGGGCCAGAGCAGAAGCTCTCACTTCTCTTTCCTTGCAGTTTCCCTGAGGCAGTGTATGGACACCCATGAGGTCATGCAAACTAGACAGAGCTGGAAACAGGCTTGGAGAGCATCAATACCTAGGCCACAGAGCAGAACAGGAGAGCAGTCTAGGGATCCTGAGGTTAGGTCTGCCTATTCTCCACTATATGCCTTCTTTCTAGTTATCACGATGGGGATCCCAGGTATAAAGGGGTGTGAGGTGTGAGGCAAGGAAAGGAAATGTGGTAAGAGGAGGCAGGGTGATGGGGATAAGGAGAGGAGGGAGGGAAGATGGGGTAAGGGAGATGGGGAGGGGAGGGGTGGTGAGGGGAGGGAGAGGGGGAGAGGAGAGAGGGAAGATGGGGTAAGGGAGTGGAGGGAGAGGAGATGGGGTGAGGGGGATAGGGAGGGGAGGGTCGGGAGATGGGATGAGTAGCAAAAGGATGGGACAGAGAGATGAGGTGAGAAGAAATGAGGAAGGGAGGGGAGGTGGGGTGATGGGGGAAGGGAATAGTGTGACATGGAGATGGGAAAGGGAGGGTGAGGGGGCCCAGGAATGGTACTGGCTCCTTATATCTGAGGGCTCTCACTCCCCCACCTCCAGATTCATGGGGGCCTGGGCTGTGGGTGGCTCTGCTTCTTCCTATGCCAGGTTTGTCTATTTTGCCTCCTCCAGCCTTGCCTGTGCCAACACGGAGGCAGAGTTTAGTCACCGGCCTTTACCTGGTCCCTGCTAATGCTGAAGTGTAGGCTTAGACCTTCAAGGGTGCAGGGCTGTGCCTTCAGGTATTGGTGGCACAGATTCTGTTGTTTGCTGAGTTTTCAGTTGCTGTCCTGTGTCCCATTGCCCTGGGTATCAGGAATGTGTGAGAGGAACCAGGGGTGCCTCAGGGTGTGGCATATGGTATGAGAATGTAGGCTCTGAAGGCAGACTGTTGACCTTGTGAGGTTACTTGCCACATCGGTGCCTCATTTCCTCCTCTGTAAAATGGGGACAGCAGTACCTCATAGGGTTGTTGAGAGGGTTAATTAAGGTAACACATGTAATGCACTTAGTTCTGAGCTCGGCCTGTAGTTAGCGCTCAAGAAAGTTAACTTACGCTGTATGTTCATAGATATCTCGGTATGTGAGTGCATCTGTAAATGTTTGAGCCTGGGAATTATTTGTCTTGTATCTATCATGCAATTTGTAAGTGAGTGTATCTGTGTAATTATTTTTGTACGGTAGTGTGCCTGATTCTGTGTTATTTGCTGTAGGTATGTGATTTTGTGTTACTGTACATATGTGATTAAATGACTAAGTAGGCCTGTGTCTACATGACAAAGAGTAGATGAAGTGTGGCTTCATGGCTGTTGATATGCTGACACCATGTCAGCCGGTGTATGCATGCATCTGCGATCATGTCAGTTCCAAACACCCCCACTCACCCTCCCTTCCTCTGGAGACGTCACAACCCTAGATGTCCCTCATTTCCTCACCCTGAGGGAACCAGAACCCGGGGGCAGGGGCGGGGGTGGGTGCCAGTGAGGAGGTGTTTAGACAGGAGCACATGTTCCCTCCCAGACTGTGTATGGGAGGGGGAGCCCTATCTTGCACATATCCTGAAGCCTCCACAGGAAGTGCTCCCCCCCCCCAACTTGTTCTCAGTTCCCTGTCTTGTCACCATGGCAGCAGTTGCCAGGGGCTCCCAGGGTTGCTAAGATCTGGGTGTGGGAGGCTGCCAAGCCTTGTTGCCAGTAGACACAGAGAATCCTGGGGGAAAGGAAGACTACCCCCACAGTGCCAGCTTTCTGCAGTGACAGGACTGGTCCTTGGACCTCTCCTGTCCCCAGATTGTTCCTATAATTTGTATATGACAGTACTAGGGTTAGTGGGGGGCTTTAACAGGAAGCTGGAACTAGAATACTGAGATTCACATTCTGAGGAGAAAGGGGTGCTCTAGCTTGGCTATTTCCATCTTTAAGGTTGGGAGGTCCTTAGAAATTAGTGACTTGCCTATTCTGTCCCCCATCTCCTATACTTCTTCTCTGGCAATATCTCTGCTTGAGTTCTCCAATGGCTGGTGCTTATTATCTCTCTGATGTTTCCACCTGGTATAGGAATACTGCATTGACCCCATTACCCTGGATACAGACTGACTCCTTCCTGTGGTCAGACTCTTAGCATATCACCTGGACACACACTTCATGCTGACAGTTGAGCCCAGAGTTCAGTCCCACAATGAGCCCTAACTTTGGCCTCAGCCTGAGACACTGACCTTGGTCTTAGTCCTGGACCAGAAAGTTCCCTACCCCCAGCCTCAGTATAAGCGCTCCTCCTAGACACAGATGAGCCCTAATCTTGATACTGATCCTTGAACCATCCACAGATTCAGTTATGATCCTGTACGTTGACTGAACACTGATCAGTGATCTTACTCCCTGGCACTTGCCTCGGGTCTCCCCGTCTGTTCTGAACCTACACTGACTAGTACCATAAAGGTTCAAATGGATTTTTTCTTTGGGGTGAGAGAACAGTACTGGGAATGACCAGCAGAGGGCGTGCAACATCAGGTTCTAAAGGCATGCTTCCCAGAGCCCACCGGGAAAGGGGATTAATAGCTATATTGTGATCTTGTATCTTTTCTCTCAGGTCAGGACTCAGAGCTGGAAGCACAGCAGCTGGTTTAAGAGGTTGAACTAAAAAAAGGTTCCCAATCCAGTGATACTGTTGCTTTGGGGTCACTTGGGTCTGTATAAGCATGGATTTCCCT